CCCAGGCGCGCGAGGTCCATCCCGCAAAACTTCTGACCGGGGGGCCACCGCGCGAGGCGGCGTCGAGAGGGCGGCGACGGAAACCTAGAAGACGCGAGCAGCCCGCGCGGCGGCGGCGAGGCTGAAGGCCCCCCCCCCTCCCCCGCCACCCCTCCCCCTCCCTTTTCCCCTCGGGGGGCGGTTAAGCCCGGGCGCGGGAGGTCGCGCCCGCCCGCCTTCTGAAAGGAGCGCCGCGCGACGCGGCGTCGGAGGGCGGCGGCGCGCGCCCCGCCGCGCGAGAGCCCGGGAGACGCGAGCAGCCCGCGGGGCGGCGGCGAGGCTGCGACGGTCGCCCGCGGCAACGAGAAACAATCCCCCCCCCACACCGCCCTCTCCCCCCCCTCCTTCCCCCGCGGGGGGCGGCTGGGCCCGGGCGCGGGAGGTTGGGCCTGCCCATCTTTTGAACGGGGGGTCACCGCGCGAGGCGGCGTCGGAGGGCGGCGACGGGCGCCCCGCCGCGCGGAAACCAAGAAGACGCGAGCAGCCCGCGGGGCGGCGCTGAGGCTTCGACGGGCGCCCGCGGCAGAAGACGCCCCCCCCTTTTTTTTATTTTCATGTTTAATAATAACTTTACCAAATAATAATAGTACTTTACAAAATAATAATACAATAATAAATAATAGTAGTAATAATACTAAGAAGAAGAATAATAATATTAATAATACTAATACTAATACTAATACTACTAATAATAATAATAATATTAATAATAATATCAATAATACTAATAATAATATTAGTAGTAATAATACTCATAATAATAATAATAATAACCATCATAATAACAATACTAATAATGCTGTTAATAATGCCAATGGTAATAATAATAGTAATACGAATAATAGTACTACTAATAATAATGTTACTACTGATAATAATAGTACGAATACTAGTACTAATACAACTACTAATACTAGTATGAATACTAAAACTAATAATAATACCAGTACGAATCATACTCATACTACTACTACTACTACTACTACTACTACTACTACTACTACTACTACTACTACTACTACTACTACTAATATTAATACTCATACTAATAATTACAACAATACTACGAATAATACCAACAATAATAATAATACTACGAATAATAATAGTAATAATAATACTAATACTAATACTAATACTAATACTAATAATGCGAATACTAATAATAATAGTAACAACGATGATAATAATAGTATAAACACACACACACATCTATATACATATATATATATATATATATAATCCCCCCCCCGCGCGTCGCGGGGCGGTTGGGCCCGGGCGCGGGGGGTTGAGCCCGGTCGTCTTCTGAACGGTGGGCCACCGCGCGATGCGGCGTCGGGGGGGGGGGCGCGGCGGGCGCCCCGCCGCGCGAGGGCCTGCCTGGAAGACGCGAGCAACCTGCGGGGTGGTGGCGAGGCGGGGCAAAAAAATATCTTCGCCCTCTCCCGCCCCCCCTCTTCTTGCGGGGGGCGGTTGAGCCCGGGGGGGGGGTGAGCCCGCTCGTCTCTCTCTCTCTCTCTCGGGGGGGGGGGGGGGGGGGCGCCTCGCGAGGCGGCGCTGGAGTGCGGCGACGGGCGCCCCGCCGCGCGAGGACTTGGACTCGCAGCCTGCGGCGCCGCGGCGAGTCTGCGACGGGCGCCCGCGGCGGAGAAAATGACACCCCCCCGTCTTCCCCGCCGCATCTCCTCCACCTTCCTCATCCGCACCCCGCGCGGGGCGGTTCAACCTGGGCGCGGGGGGGTGAGCCCACCCGCTTTCTGAGCGGGGGGCCGCCGCGCGAGGCGGCGCCGGGGGGCGGCGACGGGCGCCTCGCCGCGCGAAAACTTGGAAGACGCGGGCAGCCCGCGGGTCGGCGGCGAGGCTGCGACGGGCGCCCGCGGCAGGACAATCCACGCCTCCTCCTTCCCCGTTCCCCCCTCCTCCTCCGCGCCCCGCGCGGGGCGATCCAACGCGGGCGCGGGGGGCTGAGACCGCCCATCCTCTGAATGGAGGGCCGCCGCGCGACGCGGCGTCGGAGGGCGGCGCCCCGCTGCGCGAAAGCCTGGGGCGCGCGATCAGCCCGCGGGGCGGCGGCGAGGCCGCGACGGGCGCCCGCTGCAACGCAACGAACTCTTCCCCCTTTTCCCCCTCCACGCCCCGCGGGGGGGGCGCGGGGGTTTGGCCCCGCTCATCTTTTGAACGGAGGGCCCCCGCGCGAGGCGGCGCCGGAAGGCGGCGACGGGCGCCCCGCCGCGCGAGAGCCTGGAAGGCGCGAGCAGCTTGCTTGGCGGCGGCGAGGCTGCGACTGACGCCCGCGGCAACAGCGAAACACCTCCCCCTCCGCCCCCGCCCCCCCTCTTCCCCCTTTCTCCTCCTTCGGTAAAAACCGGGCGCGGCTGGTTCAACCTGCTCATCTTTTGCACGGAGGGCCACCGCTCGAGGCGGCGCTGGCGGGCGGCGACGGGCGCCCCGCCGCGCGAGAACCTGGGCGACGCGAGCAGCCTGCGGGGCGGCGGCGAGGCTGCGATGGACACCCGCGGCAGAGATAGCACCTCCTCCTCCTTCCCCGCCCCCCTCTTCCTCCTTCCTCCCCCCTCGCCCCGCGGGGCGCGGTCAAACCCGGGCGCTCATCTTTGAACACAGAGCCACCGCGCGAGGCGGCGTCGGAGGGCGGTGGCGGGCGCCCCGCCGCGCAAGGACCTGGAAGACGGAAGCAGCCTGCGGGGCCGCGGGGTTTCGACGGGCGCCCGCGGCAGAGAAACCGCCTCCTCCTCGGTCCCCGTCCCCCCCCCCCCCCTTACCCCGCGGGGGGCGTTTGGGCCCGGGCGCGGGAGCTTGGGCCCGCCCGCCTTTCCAACGGACAACCACCGCGCGAGGCGGCGCCGGGAGGCGGCGACGGGCGCCCTGCCGCGCGAGAGCCTGGAAGACGCGAGCAGCCCGCGGGGCGGCAGCGAGGCTGCGATGGACGCCCGCGGCAGAAGAACAAGATGGGACAAATAAGCAAACTCCCCCTTCCTCCTCCTTGCCCCACGGGGGGCGTCAGAACCCGGGCGCGGGGGGTCAAACCGCTCATCTTTTGCGCGGAGGGCCGCCGCGCGAGGCGGCGTCGAAAGGGCGGCGACGGCCCCCCCGCCGCGCGAGAACCTGGGAGACGCATGCAGCCCGCGGGGCGGCGGCGAGGCTGCGACGGACGCCCGCGGCAGGCAAAACAAACAAACACCACAACAAACCCTTTTTCCTCCCCGCCCCTCTCCCCCCCCCCCCTCCCCCGCCTCACCCCGCGGGTGACGTTGAAGCCCAGGCGCGGGAGGTTGAGCCCGCTCGTCTTCCCAACGGAGGGCCGCCGCGCGAGGCGGCGTCGGAGGCCGCCGGCAGGCGCCCCGCCGCGCGAGAACCTGGAAAACGCAAGAAGCCCGCGGGGCGGCGGCGAGGCTGCGACGGGCGCCCGCGGCACAAAAAACACCTCCTTCCTCTTCCTTGCCACGTGGGGGTCGGTTAAAACCGGGGCGCGGGGCCCATCTTTTGAACGGAGGGCTCGCTCATTGTTTAACGGAGGGCCACCGCGGAGGGCGCCCCGCCGCGCGAGAACTTGGATGACGAAGCAGCTTCCGAGGTGGCGGCGAGGCCGCGACGGACGCCCACGGCGTAGAAATCTGGTGGCGGAGGAGGAGGAGGAGGCAGCCAATCATTTGGAATACAAGTACGAAGCTTTCAGTGCAAGCGCTGGTTTGGGACCTATCGTTCCAATAATGCTCGGCGAAAAAGGTCCCCGATGCTCCAGCGCGTCTTCCGCGCGTTCATTGCACATCGAGATCCCCCTGCCCCTCCACGTCGTTGCCCCTCCGCGCTGGTCGCCGCGTGGTGGGCAAGTGCGGGAATTATTGTTGGCAAGGCCCTGAGGCATTGCAAGGTCCTGGAGTTTGTGATGGGGTCTCCTGTTGAACGGCATCGAGCCGTTGCAGGCTTCTAGAGTTTGTGATAGGGGATCCTGCTGAACGGTATCCAGGTCACCAAGAGGGGAAACATGTAAGCACATACCTAGTCTGGCAACAGCGATATCGAGTGAACGATCAGTTTTCGTGGCGCAGCGCTACAGTCACATTTACTGAGGCGTTTGTTCTCGGCATTTCGCCCCCTGGTCTCCTCGCTCGTCGGTGGCACTGGGTCCCAGGCTGGTTTTTGTTCGCAGAATTGCACCTGCGTGTCCAGCGCGATGGGCCCAGGCTTTGGAATAATTGGTAGAGTAGGGACATCCTATTGCGTGCCTCCGTCAGCACGATGTGTTTTATCTGAGTCCATGCGTTTGGGCCGAATGGTTCTATCGTGCAGATTCAGTCTAGCTGATCCCCTTCGACATTCTTATGTTTGCTTCTGGGATTGCCGTCATGCTTCTGATCACCTTGGTTTGTCGGTCTCGCTTGTTTCTCGAGCCATGGCTTCCGCATCGACAGCTTCGTTGTTTTCACTGCGCCATCGCCGCTGGGAGCGATCATTCAGTGCAACCCATTGGGTTGGAGAGTGCTTGCCAGGCTCGTAAGGGTGGCTCCCGCGTTTATCGAATTTGGGTTCATTTCCATTTGTGAGGAACGCGGTTTATGACGCCACGGCTGGAGCTCAGAATCCAAAGTGGCTGGCCCGGATTCGCGCTGACACGGGCTGGCGCACTCTCGCCGAAGTGAGCCTGGGGCGGCTCCGAAGGCAGAAGGCCGACGGAAGCCAGCGGAAACCCAAGTTGCCCCCCCAAGGACCCAGGAAAACGACGTCATGATGTCTGTTCATGGCGTCGACCCCCAGAGGTCTCGACCCATTCCCCAGGACCAGCTTATCATCCTGAGTCGTTTTTTGGCGGTCCCGAGGCCCAGCAAGGGCCCCCAGTGGCCGAAATTTGCGAAACAAATTCCCGTCATGATTTTGTTCGTCAACCGAGAGGGTCTGGGGAGATGCGCACTTGATTTGGATGCTGGACGACATGACATGGGCAGGACCGGCTCGCGGCCTCGGAGGCTTCATGCAAGGACGCCAGGCGGCAGATCGAGGAGCTGACCCCCCGGGCGGGCTCGCCGGAGAGGCCCCCCCCCGCCGCGCGCCCCGCGCCGCCCCGCGCCCGCTCCTGACGCTGCTGGCCGTCGTGAGAATATGAGCGACGCAGGAAAGAACGGGTTTCCAGATCTCCTCGAGTCATGGAACGACGGATCTTCTTCATATTTCATCGTTTCGCTCACTCCGCCGGCCCATCTTGCATCATTGATGCTACATGTTTGTGTGTTCGTGGCGAGCGAAAAGGTGAAGGAGGAGGACGACGAGGAGGAAGGGGGGGGATGAGGATGAGGAGAGGTCTCCTGAGAGCGTTGTGTGTCAAGTTGGGGCGAAACTCGTCATGGAGAAGGCGCCTCTTTGGGAGTCGCTTGGGTTCTTCTGGGAGGCCGCTCGGGGGCCTCTTGGCGGTGCGCTTTGGTTCGAGGATTGAGGGTCGTTGACGCAGAGGGGGGAGAAGGAGGAGATGGAAGAAATAAGGAAGGGTTGGTGAAACGATAGGAGGCCTCTTTTGGGGCCTCTTGGCGGTATGTCTCACACCTCCTGGGGCAGTACGGGGGCCTCTTGGGGGCCTCTTGGTGGTCTCTTTGGGCCTCTCGGGGGCCTCTTGGGATCTTTTGGGGGGCCTCTTGGGGCCTCCAGGGGACCTCGCTGCGCCTGGAGCGCAGAATGTCCGTTAACGTCCCTCGTCTGGGCCCGCTCTTGGAGCCGTCTTGGGAGCCTCTTCGGCCATCTTGGAGTCCTCTGGGGCTGTCTTGGGGCCCTCTGGGGCAGTTGTGGGCGCTCTTGGAGGCCTATTGGGCCGTGTTGGGGCGATCCTGGAAGGAAGCCTCTTGGGCCGTCTTGGAGCGCCAGTAAGCCCCCAAGGCGAGAACGCAAAAGCCTTCAAACATTGGAGGAACATCACTAGTCTGCCTCTGGAGCCTCTTGGGAGGTCTCTTGGAGCCTCTTGGGGGTCTCTTGGGGCCTCTCGGGTGCCTCTTGGGGGCTTTCTTGGGACCCTCTTCGGGCTTCCAGGGGACCTCTCTGCGCCTAGAGCTCGACATGTCTGTTAGGGTTCCTCGTCTGGGTCCGCTCTTGGAGCCGTCTTGGGAGCCTCTTCGGCCATCTTGGAGTCCTCTGGGGCTGTCTTGGGGCCCTCTGGGACAGTTGTGGACGGGCCGTGTTCGGGCGAACCTGGAAGCCTCTTGGGCCGTCTTCGAGCGCCGGTCAGCTCCCAAGGCTAGAACGCCAAGAACGTTCAAAAAATAACAGGAATCTATAATTCCTGCGTCTGTGGAGCCTCTTAGGAGGTCTCTTGGAGCCTCTTGGGGGTCTCTTGGGGCCTCTCGGAGGCCTCTTGGGGGATTCTTGGGGGCCTCTTCGGGCTTCCAGGGGACCTCTCTGCGCCTAGAGCTCGACATGTCCGTTAGGGTCCCTCGTCTGGGTTCGCCCTTGGAGCCGTCTTGGGAGTCTCTTCGGCCACCTTGGAAGCCTCTGGGGCTGTCTTGGGTACCTCTGGGACCGTTTTGAGCGCTGGGGGCCTCTTGAGCTGTTTTGGGGCGATCCTGGAGGCCTCTTCGGCCGTCTTGGAGCGCCAGTTAGCTTCCAACGCGAGAACGCCAAAAACTTCTCAGGTTATAGCAAAATCACTAATTTCTGCCTCTGTGGGCCCTCTTGGGAGGTCTCTTGGAGGCCTCCGGGGGCGTCTTGCAGGCGCTTTGGGTTGTCTGGAGGCCATATTTGGCGTCTTTTATCGCTCTTGGGCCGTCTCGGGCCATATTGAGCTCTCTTGGAGGCCACTTGAAGCGCTCCTGGAACGCTCTTGGGAGCCTGCCAGGACCTGGACGGGACTTGGCCGGGACTTGCGGGGGTAATTTTCATCCGGGTACCCCCAGGGGCGGCCCCGTGCGCGCGATCTAGAATACTGTTAACCGGTCTCCAGAGATCTTAGCACGCCCTTGGCCCGTTGGGCCAGTATATATATATATATATATATATATATGTATGTATATATATACACGTATGTAAGTATGTATGCATGCATGCATGCGTGCATGTATGTATGTGTGCATGTATACAGGTATGCATGTATGTATGTATGTAATTATGTATGTATGTATGTATGTATGGATGGATGCATGCATGCATACATGCAGGTATGTATGTATGTATGTATGTATGTATATGTATGTATGTATGTATGTATGTATGTATGTACGTATGGACGTATGGACGTATGTACGTATGTACGTATGTACGTATGTACGTATGTACGTATGTATGTATGTATGTATGTATGTGTGTATGTATGTATGCATGTATGTATGTGTGGATGTATGCATGTATGTATGTATGTATGTATGTATGTATGTATGTATGTATGTAGGTAGGTATGTATGTATATATGTATGTATATATGTACGTACGTATGTTTAGAGTTGTGTATGTATGTGTGTATGTCTGCCTGTCTGTCTGCCTGCCTGTCGGTCTGTATGTACGTATGTATGCATGCATGCATGCATGCATGCATGTATATATGCATGTGTGTATGTATGTATGTAGGTATGTGTGTCTGTATGTCGGTCTGCCTGTATGTATGTATGTGTGTATGTCTGTATGCATGCATGCATGCATGCATGCATGTATGTATGTATGTGTGTATGTATGTATATGTTTTAATTC